CTCACACACACACAAAAGCACATTGCCAGCATGGCCTTTGTTAACCCCTGCTTTGGAGAATTCAAAGCAAAGGTGGACAACTGTGCTGGGGTGTTTTCAGTGTGGTTCCTCTGGCCAGCAGGGCTGGCCCCTTCTAAACAGTCTTTTGGGGCCCCACTCTCATTCCAGAATCATGTATTCTTTTATTTTGTCTACTGTAGATTGACCCGAAAGACATGTGGTCAACAATGCCTGGTGTATAGCATGGGGCTGGCCCATTTCTGGGGTTAGGACATATCTGGAAACCATCTTATTCCAGAGAACGTCTTCCCTGTTCTTGAGCCAAACCTTACTTCCTTTGAGTCTCCAGTTGGTCTTCCCAGGTTATTGGGGCTCTTTGGACCCTTTTACTTTCTAAAAGAAATAAAAAAACCCAGCAAAGCTGAAGTTCCAATACTTTGGCCACCTGATGCAAAAAGTCGACTCATTGGAAAAGACCCTTATGCTGGGAAAGATTGAAGGCAGGAGGACAAGGGGCGACAGAGGATGAGATGGTTGGATGGCATCACTGACTCAACGGACATGAGCTTAAGCAAACTCCAGAAGATGGTGAAGGACAGGGAAGCCTGGCATGCTGCAGTCCATGGGGTTGCAAAGAGTCAGACATGACTTAGCAGCTGAACCATAACAGGAGGCAGAGTGTTCAGAGATGGTAGTTGAAATAAAGATCACAGCTTTTATGGAGCTTCTGCTGTGCCCCTGTTCCTATGTAAAGCACTTTAAAAGGCTCTTTCTATTTCCTCCTCCTCCCAGCCCTATGCAATAGTTCTATTATTGTATCCATTTCACAGATGGGAAGACTGAGCCTTTAAAAGATTAGCAAAGGTTAGGATGCCAGCCCCCATGAGAGGTGAGGCTCTGGCGATTTTACCCACTCCAATGAGGGTTCAGATCCTACTTCCATGCCTCTCTAGTAGTGGTCTGGGACACACTTTTCAATTCTCTGAGCCTCTGTTTTCTTTTTTGGTAAAAATGGAGAACATCATACTTATTTCACAGGAAGGTTACCGCAGGCGATGAAGCCCCCAGCGTGATGTCTGGCACCTCGAGGTGCTCAACTCACATCAGTTCTCTTGCCCCTGTCCTTCCTCTCCCGCTCTCTGGGCTCCTCTTGACCGAAGTCATTCCTTTGTGATGTCCCGCTTCTAATCAGTCCTCTCTCAGTGACAGGCGGGGACGTTTTGCAGCTCAGCATCCTTCTGACTGATGTCTCCTGCTAATTCCTTAAATTTACATATCATCTTTCTTCCCTCGAGCTCATAGCACTTAACAGACAAGTGGGGCACAAGTGATTTCACTAAGTGAAATTCAGAGGCCTGCTTGTCTAAAGATTCTGCAAACTAGTGGATTAGCTCAGATGTCAGCACTGAGTTATGATCTTTCAGCTGCTCGTGCTTAGCACGCCACCAGCATTAACTCCCTGGTCTTCCAGTGGTCCTTTAAATCATGCACAGTGATTATCATCTTATTGTGCGAAAGGGAGAGAAGAGAGGAGAGGAAAAGTGGGAGGGGGAGGGGGCCAGCTCATGTCCCCAGGAGAGGCAGTCTGTGACACCTTTGGCCTCACAGTGCCTGAAGTTTTAGCAACAGGATGGGTAAATAAAGCAGACCCAGAGAAAATCCAGCCAGCCTGGCTTTTTACACCTCCACACACATTTTACTGACTAAATTCTAACCATTATGCTATGATTCCCCTGCTGCTTAAGAATGTAAATTCACACAAGTGACAGTATTTCTGCCAAGCAGTTTTCAGACAGCCAGTGGGTCTTATTTGTGAAACTGTGAAGGAAGAAGGCTGAATAATAAATCTCTGAAATCTGGTTTCCTTTACATATGAGGTGGAAGCAGTTAAGTCTTGGAAATGACTGGGGCATGGGAGCATCTGGGGGGTTATCACTGGCGGCTCAGTGGACTGGATGCTTGCACAGGTCACCTTGTTTTAAGATCTGCGTATCAGTCGTAGGTATATTTACTTTGCAAAAGCTATTGTGCATTTTTACTTATACATACTCATATATCAGTATAAACGTTCCTTAATAAAAAGCAGAACGTCTCAAAAAAGTCACCTCCCCTTTGAAAAGGGCTGTTGGCCCAGTAGGATGGGAGGGAATTGTGAGATTATATGAACCTGAGGGGTCACAGAGCCCAGCTGATTCCTGATCTGTTCTTGTTTCCAATAGACAGCCTCATAACTTTCTTTATCCATGTGTTTATCATTCATTCATGGGAACAGAAAATTTTGACATATATATGTATGTGTTACTATCTAGGGGCAGGGAGAAGAAGCATTCTTAACCCTCCTGCGTGTAAGGCCAGGACCTTATAGTCTAACCAAGGAAATAGAAAAGACATATACCAAACAATTTAATTGCAGTACAAGGCAGGGGCTGAAATGCGTGAAAATGGCCTCCAGTCTTTTTAAAAACCAGGTAAAATCAGTGGTATGGTCAGTAAATGCTTGAGTTGTTGAAAGAAGAGAGGCATTAATGTTGAAAGGTGGTGAGGAGAAGAACTGGCAAAAGTGGTGGGGTGGGGAGCAGGGGGAAGCAGAGAATTACAGGTAAAAGGAGAAAGGGGAACAGTGCCCAGTAGAGACGCCAGTTTGCCTTAAATCGTATGTGTGTGATCACGTGGACTTGGGACACGGTTACCGGGGGCACAGCTGACGTGAAGGGCCTACTGCCGAAGCCAGAGGAACCTGAAGTCAAGTCCAGCTTTGCTACTCACTAGCCTTTCTACTTTGGACAAGTCACTTGAACCTTTCCCGGCCTCGGTTTCTGCATCTTGTGTAGAGTAAGATTCATAAGACCCAGCTCACAAGCATATAGTGATGATTAAATTATAAAGGCAGATCAACATGCTTTGTAACCTGTAAAGCAGTATGCAGATAGGCCTTATAATTATTATCAATAGTGGCAGTAATGAGATCTGATAGGAGAAGCATAGGTTTAGAAGTTCTTTGAGTGTCTGGTTGTGACACCAGTGTCTCCTTAGCAGATCACCATCACTGAAATTCTCTGCTGTAGACAGCTGCCTCTTTATCTGTGCTAACTCTGGCCTTGAAGAGCTCCCATGGTGTGGGGTATTGGGCCCATGTGCCTCTAGATGGTTAAGGTACCCCAAACTGGAATCCTGACTATGCATCTTAAACCGGTCTAATTTGACTTCAGGGGAGGGTAGCTTCCAGAACAATAACCCTGGAGAATCTAACCAGAAGGGACTTCGGGGATATGGGGAGGAGGGAGAGAGGTGGCCAGGAGGAGGGAAGGAGCTGTTTCTGGGCCACTGATGGGAGGACTACCACAGGCTCTGCTTTCACTAGAAAGGTGATGTTGGCAGGTATATAGCAGCACACGGGTGGCCCAGGAGTCCCCTGCTGATTCTGGGCTCTGGAGGCCCTGCCTGTCCTTCCCTGACAAAGATGTTCCCAGTCCCTGTTGAGGAAAAAAAGCTCTGTGCCCACATCTCAGATTAACATGATCCCGAGGTGTCTGATGTGCTGGTTATGTGGTGCAAAAGGGCCACCGCCGTCTTGCCGAAGTGTTCAACATAAGATGTTTCAGGGCCAAAAGGAGACAGTGAGATTTTCTGCTCAAATCCCATCCTGTTCTCTGTGCAAGTGGTCAGAATGCTCCTGCATGAACTCGATTTGCCGGTGCAGGTCCCCACACCTGCGTCTGCAAGGCATGAGGTCTGCCAACAGGGAACTCTGCCTCCCAGAGTACCTGATGTATTTAAAGTGCATCAGCCAAAAGACACATTCTTCAAACATTTGGGTGGGTGAAACCTTCATCTCCCAATGTGTGTATGAAAAGTGAAAAATGAAAGTGAAGTCGCTCAGTTGTGTCCAACTCTTTGTGACCCCGTGGACCATAACCTACCAGGCTTCTCTGTCCATGGGATTTTCCAGGCAAGAGTACTGGAGTGGGTTGCCATTTCCTTCTCCAGGGGATCTTCCTGACCCAGCAATCGAACCTGGGTCTCCCACATCGCAGGCAAATGCTTTACCATCTGAGCCAGCAGGGAAGCTGCTAAACACATAGCTTTTGTTAGTGATGATGACAACACCTATTTTGTTGGGGCTGTATTTGCCTGACTGTCTCTGAAAGGCCACATTCAGGCCTCCCCAGGCTGGGGCAGGGAAGGGAGTGGGGTCTCAGGTCCCTTGCATCACCCCTTTGTTGTTCATTGTTCAGTCGCTCAGAACTTTCTGACTCTTTTCAACCCCATGGACTGCAGCACAACAGGCTTCCCTGTCCTTCACCATCTCCTGGAGCCTGCTCAAACTCATGTCCATTGAGTCGATGATGCCATCCAACCATCCCCCACTCCTGCTCAGCCACCATTCCCTGCTCTGCTTGAACAAGGATGCTGGGCTTCTGAGCTGCAGTTACTAGAGTCCAGGCTTCATCCAGGAGCACTGTTGGAGACAGAAGGTTGTAAATGTCTTCCAATTGGACAGTGCCCAGCCAAGATGATAAAGGCTTGAAGCATAAACTACCTGGCCGGAACCATCCTCTAGTCTAGCAGTCACTTCACTCCTTATTATTCAGTTCATTACAGTGCCCTGGCCCTTTGGGTAAGCCCATGATGATTAAAATGTGGGCTTGGCCTCTCAGAATCTAGGGGGGAAAGACAAGCACCAATACAGCCAACCAAGACCTAAGACGGATGATACTAGGTGCCATATGTAAAAGGTACAAAGGAAGGGATGCAGAGAAAATAGGCAGGAGGGACCTTCTTGACATAAAGACTCAAGAAAGGACCTTAAGGGATGCAGCATTTGAATCAGAGCCCTAAGAAAGGAACACAGAACCTGGAGAACAAGTTCATAAATAAACAAAGGACACCCGAACTCTGCCCCGGCTTACCCCCCGCCCCCCGAGGGGCCATAACTGCCAGCTGGTCTCCTTCCCAAGCATTTACCAGGGACCTCTGTTTGGGTCTGTTTCCCCCTCCAGATGATAGGAACTTCCTGCGGCTGCAGAGTGATGGGCGGAACGAGGGCCAGTACGCGCGACTCATCAGCCCACCGGTCCACCTGCCGCGGAGCCCCGTGTGCATGGAGTTCCAGTACCAAGCCACGGGCGGCCGCGGGGTGGCGCTGCAGGTGGTGCGCGAGGCCAGCCAGGAGAGCAAGCTCCTCTGGGTCATCCGCGAGGACCAGGGCGGCGAGTGGAAACACGGGCGCATCATTCTGCCCAGCTACGACATGGAGTACCAGGTGGGGTGGCTTCGGGAGACGGTGCGGAGATCCGAGGGGATCCTTGTGATCTGCGTTTCAATATTTCAAAGGCCGTGCCCATTCATCATTAGGGAACGCGGTTAAGCCCCGCTGTTTTCATTGTGTTTCTCCCGTTGCCATGGCAACTAAATGACACTCTTATTTGTTATTCAGAATGTGCCTATCTCTACACCCAGACTTGGTTCTTTGTTCCTCCTATTGCCTTTTATACTGCTGAAATCTTCCCCAACAAATGTTTCTTCTCTCCATTTTATTTTAGATTGCTATCAGGTAGGCTGACAAAGGAACACAGAAGCCAGGGAAATGAACGCAAACAAACCCTCCACACAGGGGAAGAGAGGCCCTGGGAACCCCTGAGACTCAGAGGAAGAGAGGGCAGCAGCCTCCCCGCCCTGTCCCAAGTGTTCAGGTGGCTGTTCGTGCTTAGCGGTCAGCAGACCAGAGAGGTTCCTAAATGAGTGGGTTCTCACCCTGCAGCTCCAGGAGTTGAGTTCTATTATCTCTGCCCCCACAGAGCAAGAGACTGAGGCACAGATGGGGATGCGCAGCTGTGGCTGAAACTTGGGTAGAGGAGGCGCTGTGCAAGAGGTGACTGAGAACCAGCCAAAGCATTAACCTGCTCCTCCCCAGACGAGAGGCAGCAACAGATGGCTGGTGAGGCAGCCAACTGCTCGCTCAGCTTGCCAGAGGACATGTGCTCGTTTGCAGAGAGAACCTGGGGAGGGCGAAATCGAGGGCTGACTGGAGGCCACTGAGCTGAGAGGCTCCTGCGTGCAGCCTGCAGTCATTCTCACGCTTGCAAAATAGCCCGAGTCCCACCCCCACCTGCCTTCCTGCTTAAAAACCTCAGTGTGTTGTGGAGCTACTCCCTGTTGGTATTTTTATCTCACCCACTAGACGGTGAGATTCTCCAGGCAGAGGGTCTTGTCTTCTTAGCTTTTGTAACCGTCAGGGTGCCTGGCACATAGTAGGTGTTCAGCAAACTAGTGGTGAAGAAAAATCACTTACCTTCTAGTTGTAATAATGGAGCCGTAAGACACTGTTACCCCCAAGGTAATTCAAACCTGTACATTACATTTCTCACATTACCCCTACCTGCTTATGTCCTCTTGAGTTTCCAAATACCTGGGTTGAGCATTTGAAAGATTTGTGAGGAAAAAGAAAAAAATCAAACATGGCTAGAGAAATTTCAACTCTCCTTTAAACGTGCTCTGATTGTAGTCCTTTTAGTCAATACATTCTAGTTACTGGACAACAATACCCACCACTTAGTTATATACATGTATTTTTTAATCCCCTTAAATATGCATTTGATTTCAACCAACTCATTTTAAATTGAGATTTCAAGTACCAGAGCCATGTGGTCAACAGATGTGTACCAGGTGCAGTAAGGCGCGTGTGCATGCGTGCACGTGCGCGCGCGCACACACACACACACACAGATTTTAAGCTACAGTTAACAGAAGACTGGAAATTTTTGCACTGTTTGCACCAAGAAGCTCAGTTAACCCTGGCGCTTTTTCTTCCTGCTTCTAGATTGTGTTTGAGGGAGTTATAGGAAAAGGGCGTGCGGGGGAAATTGCCATTGATGACATTCGGATAAGCACCGATGTCCCGCTGGAGAACTGCATGGGTACGTGAATATCTGTCTCTTCGTGTCTCCTCGTGTCGAGGGCTGGGATCCACAAGGGGAGGCAGCACCTTGTTTTCAAACACAGCTGTTCCCCCGGTGGGTGGGGCAGCACCAGTCCATGCAGGAGGTGAGATGTGAGTTCAGTGAGAGCTTAGGCTGCAGTCAGGACGGGAGAGGTGTCAGAACAGGTGGAGTCCTATATCCCTGCTCCCATTCAGAAAGAGACATGCGCTTAGTATGTGAAGATTCAGGGTGCCAAGACCCCATCATCAGACTCCAGCTTTTAGCAAAGAAAATGCTAGAGGACGAGAGCAACTGCCAGTCAGAATTACATGCTGGAAAGATTTGATGGATTTAATGGAAGCCTTCACTGGTGAGCAGAAATAGTACATATGTTATATTGGAGTGATAACACAATTACAGGCAGTTCTTTTACATGAATGAATTGCAGGGCGAGCTATGGCATGTGAAATAAGAGTTCAGATTTTGCTTTGAAGCTAATATCTGTAATGCCCAACATGCCAGAGTTATAAGATTAAACATTGCATGCCCAGTGACCAGCACAAGAAGGACCCTGTCTCCTTGGACAGAAGTGCTGAGCACCCAGGCCACCTAGTTCACCCCGTGGACCACCTCCCATCAGAGCCATGGGCATTCCCAAAAGCAAGAGGAAATCCTGAGAAGGAAGGAGACCTACTTTCAGTCCGCAGAGTGACTGTTAATAACTCACCAAGTGCTTTTCTTGGCACATGGGTCCCGGGTGTGTGTGTGCCTGATGATGTCAGAAGCACCTGGGACCACCCTAGTCCCTTCAGGCAACTCTCGGGGCCCCGGGCATCTAAAACTAATCCAGGCTCTGAGAAAGTAATCAGTGGTAAGTGACTGATTACAATGCTTCAGGGACCCATTACTCTATAAAGGACTTTTTGTTCCAAAGCAACTTTGAGAATCTTTCCCACCTGGCCCCCATGACAACGATGTGTTAGACCTAGAGCCTGTGGCGGGCATGGGAGACTTTGTGGGATAGTATGAAAAAGCTTGATGAAACTCATCTTCATCATACACTGTGTTCACCTTATGTATTTCTCTCATCTAACTCAAATTTTTTTGTTTTTTTTGTTTTTTCAGAACCCATCTCAGCTTTTGCAGGTGAGAATTTTCAAGGTAAAAAAAAAAAGTTATTTTTAAATTTCTGCATGCCTTTTCCTTCCTCCCATGTGATGTGAATTTGGCAGAGGCGATAAGCCTCCAGATTTGACAAAGCTCCCGAGAGAAAAATAGATGCCACACCTTCTCACCGCTAGATGGCGCCAGCAACACCTGTAGATATGGGGAAAGGGCGATTGAGAGCTTCACTGTCTCTGGATTAATTAAAGTTTAGAAACCTATAATAGAGACAAATAGGTTACAGATAAACCTTTCAGCTTTGCATTGTCCAATAGAGAGCAATGAGGCTGAAAATGCATGAGTGGTGAGAAAAGAGAGGCTGTGGGGAGACTGAACCAAAAAAAAAAGAAAAAACGTCAGTAGTAAATTAAAAGTGAAATGAGGTGGCAATGATTTATTTTCGACCAAAGATGGTTTCTTTCCAGTCAGAGGGCACCAAGGCAGCGGTCTCAATTAACCCTCCGCGAGGTACACAGTTGTGTGAGGGAAGGAAGTTAGAGGAAAGACATGAGGAATGACAGTCCTCAGCAGAGAAGTTTGCAGAAACCTGGAGGCGGTGCCTGGTTAAGGGAAGAAGAAGGCTCATTTGGTGACTGGAATTAGAACACTTGAAATACAGGACTGAAAAACAGAAAGGGACATTTTATCCCTAATAAAGTAAATAGAGAACAGAGCAAAGAGAGAGGAACGTGGGATGCCTGCCTTATCCCAGGAGGGAAAACTAACCTCCAAACTTGGGGGTGCTAAAATGCAGTGTATTTCACATCTCACCCTCTCTGGAATCCTCTTGGTTGACACTGCTAACGTTTCCACCCAGGTTCCAGTGCTGAGGATTTGGAAACCACTCTGTAAATGCTTCCCATGAGTTGGCCCGCGTGTATAAGCACACTCAGAGACACTCACCCACACCTAATAACAGAACCTACTTTATGCAAACAATCCCGAGGGTTTCGATGCCCTGTTTACATTGGCTGACCTTAACCCCACAGGTGACAGCATTTCAGAGATAAGGGAAGTCGTTTTTATATCTGAAGTCTAGACTCGTTATCTTCACTCTCATTAATCTGTCCAGCTCCTGACTGGACGGAGATGAATTCCTGGTTTGCCACCTAGATGTGCTCTCTGACTTCAAATCATCTCGCCCAATTTGCCACTCATCACCCACAGCGCTAAGACAGCAGATGAGGGAGAGGGCCGCAGGATGGGGGGTGGGAAACCTATCTAGGATGTCTTTTCTTTCTTCCTCACCCTTCCTGGCCTCCCTGAGCCCCATCCCCACTCCCCGTTGCACATTTTTCAAGTATTAAGAGTATTCCTGTGCATGTGTTGGCGCTCCATGGGTGTGAGATTTTCTGTTAACGCGAATCTAAAAGTATCGGAAGGAAAAGCTGAGATCAAAACTGAATGGCTTGGATTACAGTTGAATTCAAGTTCTAACTTTCGGGACCCAAGGTAACGTAGATCCTGGGGAAGTAAACTTGCTTACGTTGTTTCACGTGACTTTGATTGCCGAGACTCAAAGCTCGCAGGAAAGGCTGGTTAGGGCCTTCAGCCCCCACGGCACTCTGCTGTGTGAACATGGATGTCTGGGTCCATGACTGACAAGTTCAGTGGCCAAGTGCCTTGCTTCTGTAAGTGAATAAACAAACCAGGGCACATGTGCTGTCGCGGAGGCTGTATTTACCATGAGGCTACACAGGCCAGTCATGTTCTCTTGTAAAATATATGTGTAAATAAAATGGCCTCAGAGCTGCAGTCCTCACTTAGCCAAAATAAACACAGGGCGTAGGGACCCCAAGGTAAGAATTTCCAGTGTGCTTCCGACGGGCTGGTTTGGGGCTCCAGCGCAGGCAGCGCTTGAGTGGCATGGATTGGCCCACGGCTGTGGTCTTGGGAAATAACAAGCATCTTTGGAAGGAGGAAACCAAACTCCAGAGACTTGGCTCGGGAGTCAAGAGCAGGATGGGAATTGAGAATGGACAGTGTCGATCACGTTGGCAAGTTTTACATGGAACTCTGACTTGGTAGCCAGATGAACCCAGGGCCAGGGAGGCTTCTATTGGGCTGAAGCCCCTCTGACTTCCGTAGACATCTCTGGGTTTTGACTTGAGCGAAGCCTTCCATTTGGGAGAGGAAAGAGGACATTCGCTCTACCTTACCAATGACCTCTCCTGGTCAGGGTGGTGGCAGCCTTCTCTTGGTGGGAGGGTGAATGCCTTGGGAATTAAACCAGGCTGTTCACTCAAACAGAGAAACAGAGAAATCAGGTTTGGGCAAGCAGGATATGGAAAGCTGATGGTGAAACCCCATTAACAACAGGCGTATATTGTTAGTATGGTGGTTTTGTTTTTGGTTTTCTTTAATGTAGATTGTTTTTCTTTTCCATTATAAATTTACCATGAGACAGAAGCAGTCTCATTCTTTATGAGAGACCAGTGTGTCCTAGGTAAACCTTTAAGGCAATGCAACAAAAGTGGCTTCTGGACTGAGGCTTATTAGATAGTCTTGATCTTTTCTATTTTGAAGTGTCTTTCATTTTCGGCCTCTTACTCATCTCTTGCCATGGAACATTTTCTTTTTATTCGAATCACCTTGTGTTTTCTGCTTGGTATATATGCTTTGATTGTGTATCAGGATATGAGTCAGTAGTGAAGAGAAACAAGCCACAGTGAAAAAGAGTGCCATGTAGAGAGGGGACAAGGAGATGGAATGAATAAGCTGTGTTGTCATGTGATGTTTAAAAAGACTTTTTTGCTGTTGTTCTAAACAATGTGGCCTGGGTGTGCTTTTTTTTTCTTCTTTTTTTCTAAGCAGTGGCTATAGACATAGTGCCATCATGTATCTTCTTCTAGAATTTGAGCTTTAACAAATGAAGAACTGTGTGTAAAAGAGTGGGGGGAGGTGGAGAACTGAAAAGTGGTGTAATTAAGGTGATGGATTATTTTTTCTTAACCAATGCTTTCTATTTTCAATACGAGGAAAAAGAATCATAAGCCAGTAAAAATACATAAAACCCGTAATCTGAGTTCTGCAGTTGTTTACCAGGTAGTTATTTTTAGCAGGTTGCAGTGGAAGCAGGAGCTCTTGTTCATGTTAGAGGCTGTGGGCTTTGAACAAAGCGGGAGCAGAGAGACCCATGGGAGTCCCAGGCACGGGTGGGAGTGAGAGTGAAGGATTCAAAAGTGCTGCGTCAACCACTGATGGGTGCTAGCAGGGACATCAGTAGCTCCTGCTCACAGCTGTGAGCGTGGGTTTTGGGTCTCAGACCAGCTCTGAGGGCTGCTGGCCCTATCTCTTGGGCCTCACTCATGCAGTCCTCTGCAATTTTCATCCAGGTAAAAGTAGAAAGAGGACAGCACAGACTGTCTCCTGGGCATAGAGGGGCCCATTTGGGGGCAGTGACAGCTGCCTAGGGTTTGACCCTGTGTCTCAGGTTTTCAGGTCTGTTTAGTTCGTACCAACTGGCCCATCTCTGCCATGTCTCTTCCCCATCTTTCCATCTCCGCCCTCATCCCCGCTTGATCTGCCAATCGGCTGCCTCCCTGAGACTTTGCTCCCCAGTGTAATGCCCCCCTATGCCAGGGCACAAGACCTGGGATGAGCGTCAAATTCCCTCTCTCTCTGGCATCCCTTTCTCCCACAGCTCTCTTGACTAGAAGCCAAGAGACGCAGGACGCAGTGAGGGTTAAATGGCATTTTCGCCGTGATCCTCTAATGAAAGGCAGAGTATTCCCAGCCCCTGCCAGGGCTCCATATAGGCAGCTGTGGGCTGTGACTCCTTCCCCGTGGCCCCCTCCCCCTGAGGTCCCCAGCTGCCGGATCAGAGCTAGGTGTTGCTGAGCCGGGGAGCGTGGAGATGAGATGCGTGTGAACCGCTCACTGCCCGCCTGCGGCTGCTGCCCAAGGAGACGCCAAGGCATCCTTTGTGAGGTTCAATCCGCGGAGGCCTGACACATAGCCCTGCAAGTTTACCATTCATCGAAACCGCCACCAACATCAGTTTCTCTAAGGGGAGAAGAAAATTTTTTTCACTGACTTTTCCTCTGTCCAGGAACAGAAGGGACAAGCCTTAATTTAAAAGAAGTAATCTAAGTGTCACCAAAGAGAGGACAAATGTTCAGACTTCAGGCAGCCACGGATCTGGGTTTAGGTGTGTCTTAGACAGGTGTGGCGGGGCAGGCAGCAGCATTCCTACTAATTGAGTGGAAATCTCCCAATGACCACCCCCGCCCCCGACACACACACACACATACTGAGTGCAAGGCAAATGGAGAGTCATTTCTCAGGGAGATTTTATGCTTCTGCATTCTTCTTCCAAACAGATCGGTAGGCGTGACCACGTTCTTCGACCCTCTTCTATAAACTTCTCTAGAGAAGCCAGCTTTCTCTTTTGTTTGTTTAATCTCACAAATTACATAAATGTTTTAACTGAAATGCCCCTTCTCCAGCACTTCGTTTTCAACCTACACATGCAAGACTGCAGACAGGCCAGGCCTGAAACAGTTCTGATTTGCAATGGACCTTTTTTCTTCCCCCTCCAAGAGAGATGATTTATATTAGGTATCTTTCAAAACATTTCTCTTGGAAACCTGGATGACTCCTCCAGGTCCGGAGGACATTTCATAAACTTAGCTGCAGGAGATGTTTTCGCTTTTTGGTGATTCAGTGAGAATTTGACTGAGACAGTCCGCAGACAGGTTCAGACAGAAGAAAGAAGCAGAAAGAGAGAGGTCTGCTTCCTGTTCCACCTGTGTGATTAGGGCAGAGTCTGCACACTTCTTCCGTCAGTGGACAGATAGTGAACATGTTGGGCTCTATGACACTGTGTGGCTGGGACTCCCTGCGCCTGGAGCACAAAGGCGGCCATAAGCCATATGTGATGAGGGTGGCTGTGTTCCAAAATGTACAGAAATAGGCTGAGAGCCAGATTTCGTCTTCTGACCCTTGGGTTCCAGCACGGGCGGAGGATTTGGTCCACGCGCTTCCAGTCCTGACCC